GGGGCATATTAGAAAAAAAGAGAAATTGCACTGCTATGGCATGCCCACTAAATTTTGATGGTGCAATCTTAAATTGACTTTGAGAATTGCTCCCCAAAAAGGCAACAAAAGCAGGCAAAGCACAGACTTGCAGGCGTCCCAGCCCAGGTGAAGACAAATGTTCCATTCTCTGTCCGGTTATAATAAAATATGCTCTGAGGAACAATGAGAGTGTTAATTGTCAACTCCAAAATGGCAGCCAGCTGCATGTCAACAGTTTGGCAGCCAAGAAATATATACTGAATGAATCTTCTACAAAGAAAAAATATATATGCGGAAAACTAGGGAATAGGGCCTGACTCCAGTCACCCAAACTTTTGTAGTCTATTTTTGGAAAAAACAAAAACAATGTCACTGTTTATCTCAACAAGGAATGGAACAATCCAGAATCAGAACTTCCTTCCCAGTTGAATCATATGATGAAATGTACCGTAATTGGTATCTTCCCAAACACTGAACTGATGGCACGGAAAGGCAGAAGAAAAGTATCTTTAACTGCCTATGAAAAGTGTGACTTTTTAAAAACTACATAATAAAACTCTTTTTATGTTTCCCCTTGGTTATCAAGTAAATTACCCTCTCCCTAAGTATTACCCATAATCCAAAATGAAAGGACAGAAGCCTTCCCTTTGGATTACATTCTAAAAAGGCAAGGCACATAAGAAAAAAAAGAAGGGTGGGGGAAAATAAAAGGTAAATATTAGTTCAGAGCTGGAGAGCAAAGCGTTGAGCAGCAATCACATTCAGTGGTTCAGAAATGTATATACGGTGATTGGGGTGCATCGAAAAGCCACCGAGGGAAGCAGTGCATGCAGAGTTCTGCCATGGGAATAATGCTCTCTGCACATGACCAGATGCACTGTCGCAGTTACTGTTATGTCATTTGTTCTAGAGTGGATAAGTGCATTAAATTCCAAGGCAGAGTTATGGCTAAAGCAGGGGACGGAAGTATCCTGCCCTGGAAGTCCTGTCACCCTTTCTGGAACCGCCACTCTCGAATAAAGAACAGCCACAAAGTCGACCAAGCTCATCTTCACGCCCCGCCCATCCGCGGAGGCACACGGTAGAGGGGTAGAGGGGAGGGGGCGACACACTCACCCAGTCTCTGTCTAGAGCTCGAAGGCGTCCTGGAGAGCTTGAGCGCGACAGGAGCCACGGCGCTGGTGGTGACGTTATAACTCTGCGCCGTCTGCTCTGCGGCCCTGGAGGTAGCTAAGCAACGGCTCGAGGGGAAGAAGAAAATGTATGTGAAAGAGGAAAAAGAGGGCGGGGAGTGGGAAAGAACTGATAAGCAAAAAGAGAAAAGCAGACAGAAGTCATGAACTGAGTGTTCAAGAGCAAGTCTGTAGTTTTTAGCCAAAAAGTGCTGAGTTTCAGTATTGTTCACTATTGTTTTATTTGACTGGGGTTACTGAAAATTTCCTAAAATGTGAGTGCCACTTTGAATTCAGAAAACACTTATTTTTAAATAAATGGGTATAGGTCTGTAACTTAGTCCCAAAAGTCCAACGGTGCTTTTTTTTTTTTTCAAGAGGCAACTGGACTTTTTGGTTTTTCTTTGAAGACGTTTTGCTTCTCATCCCAGAAGCTTCTTCAGCTCTGACTAAATGGTAGGGAAACTGAAGAAGCTTCTTGGATGAGAAGCAAAACGTCTTCAAAGAAAAACCAGAAACTCCAGTTGCCTCTTGAGGAGAAAAAAACCTTTGGGACAACCATGACCTGGATGACTGAGAATCTCCATAGAAATTTAGTCCCTAAAAGAGCTTATGTTCTTGAATTCTGCCATGAAAATAATGTATTCAGTATACTTCACAGAGCTGTTGTCAAAATAATGCCAAGCGAACTCATGAAAAGCTCTAAATGACTTATTTTAGGTAGGATATAATTGATTTTTAATATCAAGTGTTTCTCTGGAAAACTTAAGGAAACATGTATAATCCACCACCACATAAGTTACTACAAAAACTCTGTGAACTAATTAGAACATGATTAGCTCAAGGTCTTCTGGTGAAATTTATACAGTGGGGCAAAAAAGTATTTAGTCAGCCACCAATTGTGCAAGTTCTCCCACTTAAAAAGATGAGAGAGGCCTGTAATTGACATCATAGATAGACCTCAACCATGAGAGACAAAATGAGAAAACAAATCCAGACAATCACATTGTCTGATTTGGAAATATTTCTTTTGCAAATTATGGTGGAAAATAAATATTTGGTCAATATCAAAAGTTCATCTCAATACTTTGTTATATATCCTTTGTTGGCAATGACAGAGGTCAAACCTTTTCTGTAAGTCTTCACAAGGTTGGCATACACTGTTGCTGGTATGTTGGCCCATTCCTCCATGCAGATCTCCTCTAGAGCAGTGATGTTTTGGGGCTGTTGCTGGGCAACACGGATTTTCAACTCCCTCCAAAAGTTTTTTATGGGGTTGAGATCTGGAGACTGTCTAGGCCACTCCAGGATCTTGAAATGCTTCTTACAAAGCCACTCCTTCATTGCCCGGGCAGTGGTTTGGGATCATTGTCATGCTGAAAGACCCAGCCATGTTTCATCTTCAATGCCCTTGCTGATGGAAGGAGGTTTGCACTCAAACTCCCACGATACATGGCCCCATTCATTCTTTCCTGTACACAGATCAGTCATCTTGGTCCCTTTGCAGAGAAACAGCCCTAAAGCATGATGTTGCCACCCCCATGCTTCACAGTAGGTATGGTGTTCTTTAGATGCAACTCAGCATTCTCTCTCCTCCAAACACGACAAGTTGTGTTTCTACCAAACAGTTCTACTTTGGTTTCATCTGACCATATGACATTCTCCCAATCCTCTTCTGGATCATCCAAATGCTCTCTAGCAAACTTCAGATGGGCCCGGACATGTACTGGCTTAAGCAGGGGGACACATCTGGCACTGCAGGATCTGAGTCCCTGACGGCATAGTGTGTTACTGATGGTAGCTTTGTTACATTGGTTCCAGCTCTCTGCAGGTCATTCACTAGGTCCCCCAGTGTGGTTCTGGGATTTTTGCTCACCGTTCTTGTGATCATTTTGACCCCATGGGGTGAGATCTTGCATGGAGCCCCAGATCGAGGGAGATTATCAGTGGTCTTGTATGTCTTCCATTTTCTAATTATTGCTCCCGCAGTTGATTTCTTCACACCAAACTGCTTGCCTATTGCAGACTCAGTCTTCCCAGCCTGGTGCAGGTCTACAGTTTTGTTTCTGGTGTCCTTTGACAGCTCTTTGGTCTTCACCATAGTGGAGTTTGGAGTGTGACTGTTTGAGGTTGTGGACAGGTGTCTTTTATACTGCTAACAAGTTCAAACAGGTGCCATTAATACAAGTAATGAGTGGAGGACAGAGGAGCCTCTTAAAGAAGAAGTTACAGGTCTGTGAGAGCCAGAAATCTTGCTTGTTTGTAGGTGACCAAATACTTATTTTCCACCATAATTTGCAAAAGAATTATTTCCAAATCAGACAATCTGATTGTCTGGATTTGTTTTCTCATTTTGTCTCTCATAGTTGAGGTCTATCTATGATGTCAATTACAGGCCTCTCTCATCTATTTAAGTGGGAGAACTTGCCCAATTGGTGGCTGACTAAATACTTTTTTGCTCCACTATAGCTGTGTAGGGATGCAATGATGGCGAACAGCATGTAAGGATTTCAGTGCAGATGTCATTTTAGCTACTTTAACATGCTGGATATCTCAGTGGGGAGTTTTAATAAAATTTAATTGGGAGTTTTAATAAAATTATTTAAAATTTAAATAATTTTAATAATATGATTATTGTGATTATTTTAATGAGTGGCATGGTGGCCTAGCGGTGAAGATGCTCATCTTCCTCTGGGAAGGTTGAGAATTCAAACTGAGGTAGTGGCAGATGTTTCCTAGGGCACAAAGAAAAAAATCTGTTATGAACACCGCATAAGCATCAGGAAGGGCACTGGTCAGTAAATACTCAGCTTCATCCAGTCACCCTAACTCTATGCTGAATAGAGACTACAGGATCTTAAAAAGGGGGGGGGGGAATGGTGATTATTTTAATGTTGATAGCAGACATTTGACATTCTGATCAAGTAATTCCTCTGTGGCTTAGATTGCAATGGCATCTAGAGCTTGATTGGTTTTACCCAAATTTTACTATTCAGTGACTCCTACCTAATTCCTTAGTTTATAACAGCATCTCATTATGAGGTGGCACAGAATGTGGTGATGCCAAGGTTAGTGTGCCCCCTCACTGGGACATTATGCACTGGTTTCCTTGGGTGTCTGTATGGGTTCCCTGTTGCTGAATGAATACAATGATTATACAGGTCTGGTGAGTAAAAGGGACATCCAATGGTAAGTTTCAATAAATGGGACATAAAACACTGAAAAATCTTTTCGTGAAATGTGACACTGAAAAGCATGAAGATTATATAATTATATGAGCAGCACACTATTTAATAATTAAAATACTTGATATTCTTATGGAGCCTTTTGCTCTCTCAGAATAGGTATGTATGTATTAGCTTGTTTCATAATCACCATGTTTGGCTCTGATCATTTCAACATTTATTAGATCTACAAGAAATGTGTGAGTTATTTCTAAATCTAGTGTGTATAATTTGTTATTTAAAATAATTGATGCTTTTGAACATAGAATGCAATATCAACTAAGTTATATTTCTTTACACTCATCTTACAGATAACTATTTGTCATTCTGCTAGTTTGAGGAAATGTATGTTTTGCATAAGCTGTATACTTGGTAATGGTAAATAAGGGCTCTGTTTCAGTTCCTCTGTTTTCATTTTTGCATTCAGAAGGAATTTGGTACATCATGGTATTGTATTCTCTGATATGACTGGTTTTGGATTTAGTTCATTTTAAAAAAAATGCTGACTGTTCTTTTCCCCTCCCAACTCATAGGACAGATCACTCTCTCTCTTCAGAGGAAGCACCAGGGCCTGCCCATCAGATTGTCATGTGATATCTTCTTGCAGCTTCTTGTTCCAGGCTGAAGTTAATGTTAAACAGATGGGGCTGTGGCTGTATATTCTCATGATATTTTTGGGAGGCTTACAATTTCAGGTAAGCAAAAATAACAATTAGGGAAGGATTTTATTGGGGGAAATGCTGAAATGATTTTTTTCAACTTTTAAGGGAAATACAAAAAAATTATCTATCTGCTTTGTAATCTTCTACGTAGTCTCATAGTCCAGGTTTTTCTTTAGATCTTTTTGGCACTTTTTCACCATTTTCTCCTAGTATTCTGTTTATAATTAGTGAGTTGATTGCTGTACCACTGAATTAAGCTCCTGTGTAATATAATTATCTTGGAATTCTTATACATGGAGTATAATCTGTTCTGCTCATTAAAAATTCTCAACAATCATGTGATTCAGGGCACAACGAAGAACACTATAGAGTTCAAGTTATTTTAGACTATGATCGAAGTCATATACTCAGAGCAAATTAATCATTTATTTTTCAAAATAAATTCTCAACGCTCATGTGATTATGTGTGATTAGCTGGCTGATAATGTGTAACCATAGCAGGAGATAAAGAGATGAGTAACTCCACAATATGATTCAATAGAAGATCCTACATCGGTCAGTAACCTAGAAAGAATTTAAGTGAATAAGTGAGGGGCAGACCTAAATGTCAAGTATAAATTGTGATTGGGATGTTAGATTTGAACTTGTAAGATTTGGAGCAGCAGTGAGCATGAGATATGAGTTACTTTAGGATACCTTATGTGACATGTCGAGGTACATGAGCTTAACCTCAGGAAAATACTGTATACAGTACTATAATGTTCTTCCATTCTGAAATGTTGTATTGTTTTATACTAGGCTATCCATTGGACTGGAAGCTCTTATGAAAAGCAGAAATACATGAAGGAGCTAATCAGTGTTAAATATATTGTTTGAGCTAATGATGTAAAATCTGTAATTATACCTTATCATAGCCATGGAACAAATGGATCTTCTACCCCTACCCCTACTCTTAATAAATACTTAAAGCAGTACTGTGATTGTATGGAAAAAGACAATATGAAGCTTTCATCTCTTTTTCTGGATAGCAGGGCACCGCAGCAGTTCGTACCTTCAGTATTGATTATAAAAATAACTGCTTCCTCAAGGATGGAAATAAGTTTCGTTATATCTCAGGCAGCATCCATTACTTCCGTATCCCACCAGCTTATTGGAAAGACCGACTCCTCAAGATGTATATGAGTGGTCTCAATGCTGTACAAATGTAAGTCATCAGAAGGGATTCCCAGCTGGGACATACTCTTTGCTGTAACAGAGACTAGAGACTGAAACTGATCTTAAATGTTCGAATGTTCTCATTGGAAGGTTATATTTTGGACTATACCCAATATTAGGAGCAGAAAAACTCATGCTTATTGAAAATGGATCTGATCCAATTAATGAAAATCTTTTATTGTATCATAAGGTCACATTAGTGTGTGTGTGTGTGTGTGTATATATATATATATATATATATATATATATACACACACACACACA